GTTTCCTGTGGTGACCAGGTGAAGGACATTGGCCTCCAGCTCCCTTTCACTTCATCCCTCTCTGCTCTCCCCAGGGCGCACACGGTCTCCAGGATTCCCAAGCGCCAGGGTCTCCTTCCTTCCTCCGAACGGTTTTCTCAGCTCTTCCTGCAGCGGGTCCATCGAACCCGACCTTCCCTCACAGGTGTTGAGCCTGACCTTCTCTCACAGGTGCCACACATTCTAAAAACGCTTCTTCCCAAAGCCAACCCCTTCATCCTTAAAAACTGCCGATTTCAGCAAGCACATGTTATAATCTAAACTGCACTGACGCACCCTAAGCAGCATTTGCAATAACAACATGGCACTGGCTCAGTTTGGAGAGGGATACTGGTTGCAACAAGGCAGTACCCGCATTCAGTGTCAGCTCGACTCTTCATTTATGAAACACCGAGCCCCTGGTGCATGCTGGGAGGCAGAGATGAGTGTGCCCAAGGAGCCCACAGTCTTGCGGGGGAGACAGGCAGGTATATAAGCCTATTAGTTCCAGAAACTTCCCATTACCTCCCGACTGCACTCCACTTAGAATCTATCAACTCACCATGTGATCCCACCTCCCTCTCCAGACCTAAGCTCCATTATGCATTAATATCCATGTAATAATCCAAGCTAAAACCATCAAGCCTCTCTCATTTCTCTCACAATGAGATACTCATTTCCCCCCAAAATAAATCTTGACAGAGATGGGTAAGTTATGAAGATCTGGTAAGTACAGAAAGCAGCTAGCTTTTTAAAAAAGTGTGATATGGCCCGGACCGTGTAGCTCAGGGTTGAGCATTGACCTATGAACCAAGAGGTCAGTTTGATTCCCGGTCAGGGCACATGCCCAGGTTGTGGGCTCGATCCCCAGTAGGGGGCGTGCAGGAGGCAGCCGATCAGTGATTCTCTCTCATCATTGATGTTTCTATCTCTCTTTCCCTCTCCCTTCCTTTCTGAAATCAATACAAATATATATTACTGGTATGTGAGGTTTGGTAACTTGCGAATGGGTTATAAACTCATACCCATACAAAAATCTGCACATAAATGTTAATGTCAGCTTTATTCACAATTGCCAAAAATGGCTAAACAAATGATAATAAGTATTCCCCACTTATCCGTAATGGGCGTGTTCCAAGACCCCCAGGATGCCTGAAATCACGGGTGGGACTGAACCCTGCATATACAACTGTAAGACGGAAACTATCATAAATCCAAATGCCTTTCATACACCTAACCTCCCGAAAATCAGAACTTAGTCTAGCTTACCTTAAACGTGCTCGGAACCTTACACTGGCCTGCAGTTGGGCAACACCATCTAACACAGTGAGTACACTGTAGACTACCCGTGTTTACCCCGACCGCGTGGCTCACTGGGAGCTGTGGCTCATGACCAGCATCACAGAGAGGATTGTAGTGCTTATCGCTTGACCAGGAAAAGATCAACATTCAAACTTCGAAGTGCAATTTCTACTGAATGCATATCTTAAGTCAAAAAATCCCAAGTCAAACCAGAGTACATCGGCGACATTTGTAGGATGTTTTTTCTTTACATACAGCCCTATGATAAAGTTTAACTTACACATTAGGCACAGTAAGAGATGAACAGCAATGACTAGTAATAAAATAGAACCATGATAACAATATACTGTGGTAAAAGTTCTGTGAAGGTGATCTCTCGTTCACAGCGTAACCGATTGCTGGACTCACCGTCCACTCACAGGAAGCACTGACGGCTTCTCTTGGGAAAATGCAAGTTGCCGTCATCCCTGCTCCCGGGCGTGGGCCATGGCCAAGTAAATAACACCTACAAGACCCAGCCCGACAACCCCGACAGCAGAACCGGGTCTGATAACCCAGCTGGTTAAGAGACTAGCGCTCAGCGCGGGCAGCACTCAGCATGGAGACGCTGGGCAAAGGGGGGTGGGGGGAGCTTACATCTGCAGCAGGTGGAGTAGGGAGGGCCTGCGAGGTTTCAGCACTGAGAATGGCAGGTGTGCCATTTAAAACTTGGGAATTGCCGAAACCGGTTTGACTCAGTGGATAGAGCGTCGGCCTGCGGACTGGGGGGTCCCGGGTTCGATTCCGGTCAAGGGCATGTACCTGGGTTGCGGGCACATCCCCAGTGGGAGATGTGCAGGAGGCAGCTGATCGATGTTTCTCTCTGAGCGATGTTTCTAACTCTCTATCTCTCTCCCTTCCTCTCTGTAAAAAATCAATAAAATATATTAAAAAAAAAACTTGGGAATTATTTCTGGGATTTTCTATGTAATCTTTTCGGTTGGCTGCAGGTAACGGAAACCACAGACAGTGAAACTGGGGATACTGTAACGTATCCCAGTAGGTTCATAACCGTAACACTCAGTACGTCAATGCAACACGGCAGCCATGAGAGCTGCGGAACTGAGGACGGGGATGGAGTGGGAGCACGGGAGAACTTTCTGCTCCGTTTTTCTATAAAGCTAAAACTGCTCTAAAAAATAAAGTCTAGTGTGTGTATTTCTTTTTTTTTTAATATATTTTATTGATTTTTTACAGAGAGGAAGGGAGAGAGAGATAGAGAGTTAGAAATATCGATGAGAGAGAAACATTGACCAGCTGCCTACTGCACATCTCCCACTGGGGATGTACCCGCAGCCCAGGTACATGCCCTTGATTGGAATCGAACCTGGGACCTTTCAGTCCGCAGGCCGACGCTCTATCCACTGAGCCAAACCGGTTTCGGCTGTATTTCTTTTTTTAAAAAAGGTCCAAGAACGGGACAAAGTACTCTTGAAATACCTGGGGCAGGTACTTATTTTCAGCAAATCCTCACACAGCCCTACCACATGCTTCAGGCCGGAGAGTGCAAATGCCTTGCCCTGGGACACAGAGAGGAAGTCACAGCCAGGATTCAGCAGGAAGTCCTTGCTCCTGACCTTGAGCTGAAGCGGCCTCCCCTTGAAGGGGCTGAGCCAGCTGGACATCAGTACTCCCAGCTCCCCATCTCAGGGCTTGCCTCGACTCTTGCGGCAGTGGTTTGGTTTAATTTGTCTTTTATGAGAAGCCATTCTAAAATCTTACTGGAAGTAGGTGTGATATCAAACAGAAAACTGAAATATTGAAATTGGAGACTTCAGTTCCTATAAAAAATGAAAATAAATCTACCTTATACCTGCTTAGTTCTCCTGGTTCCATACTGTTGCTTTTTTTTTTTTTTTTTTTGCTATAATAGTTAAAATAGATTGTATTTAAAATCCCAGAGGATGACAATGCTTAGACCAGATCAGCACAGTGTCAGTGACCTTTTGATGTTTTTTTTTTCTCCTTTTGGGGTGCACTGTGTTTTATCCCAAAGACGTGACTTATCCAAAACCAAAACAGAAGAACAAACAGCACCCCTGGG